GTTACTTATGAAACAGACACAGCTGTAGTAATAACAATCACGAGGGCAGCAGAGGCTCACTCCCTGCCAGTACCATTTGCAGCGTTTTACATGAAATGCCTCATTAATCTTACAGGGCAGTATATTATAAACTCCACTGTACTGGTGAGGAACCAGAGGTAGGAAGGTACTAGAATCATTCCCACTTGACAGATAAGGTAACTAAGACCCACATCAGTGGCAGTGCTGGGACCTGAACCCAGGTCATTGGACAGTGGGGTTCCCCAGACCATGTTTTAGCCACTCTGCTACATACTGTCTCATCTTCAGAGTCTGTGCTTCCTCTCAAGTATAAGACAGTAACTGAACATTCCTTTTCCATCATTTGTTACCTTAAAACAACATAATTCACAAAACTTAAGAACACAAGCACAGTTATGGGATCCACCAAGTAAGTTCAGCATTGGCTGCAATTTCTAAGTGGATAGTGTTAAATCCATCCACTTAGTTTTTGGGGTGGAGAGTGGTGCTCAAGGAGAGAGCTGATCCAGAAGTGGATCCATCATAAAGCACCATGGCTGCATTGTGTGGCAAGTCACCAGTGGCAACATCTGCCCTGGTGATGATACTGTGGATACTGTGTCAGACGCCTGATGCAGAGGGCATGAAACATGTAGGACTCTGCATTTGGTTGGACATATTTATATAAGAAAATTAAAGAATAGACGTAAATCACTGGTAAGCCAGAAATGCCCCCTGAATGATAATTACTCTTGTTATTCATGCCAGCCCAAATACACCCAGCTCACAACAGAGATGTCCGTAATTTTTCAACCTGCAACAGTCCACTAGAAATTGATTTCAGTAGTTGCCTCCGTATTAGTCCATTTCTGTTGTTATACCAAAAATACCTGGAACTGGGTAATTTACAAGAAAACAAAATATATTGTTTACAGTTTCAGAGGCCGGGAAGTCCAAAGTCCAGGAAACGCATCTGGTGAGGGTCTTCCTTGGTGGGGGCTTCAGCCACACAGGGTGTCATATTGCAAGATGGCAGAAGCAGAGAGAGTAACCTTCTCACTCTCCTTTTAAAGTCACCAGAACCATTGCCATTATTCCAAGAATGGATCAATCCATTCATGAGGGTACAGTCCTCACAATCTGATCACCTCTTTAAGGTCCCATACCTTTCAATTACCATAATAGGATTTTCCACACTCAACAGTTCCAGTGGGGATTAAGCTTCAGTGAGTTTGGGGGAAGGGAGGACATTCAATCTACAGCACCTGCCCCATTACATTTTAGAAATCAGGTTCTCATATGTAATTATCTCCCCGGCCCGATTCATCTGTGCCACATTCTATTATAACAAAGGGGAAGGGAATATGACATTCAAGAAAAGGAAAAAAATCATGCTTTTGTCTCATAATTCACTTTTAGCACTTATAAAAATATGATTTTGCACCACATGACATAACGACAGACCGCATATACAATGGTGGTCAGAGCAATAGGCTGCACCATTATAGCCTAGGTAAGTAGTAGGCTATACCATCATGGTTTGTGTAAGTACACTCTACAATGTTTGCACAATGTCAAAATCACCTAAAGACACTCAGAATGTGTCCCTGTCTTTGAGCAACGCATGACTGTGATTTGAAAAAAGGAATAAATATGTGGACTAGAGCTGCATCTGCCATCTCCTCTCAGCAAGTTTACTAACTTCCCTTCTTAGTCAAGGGATGTCCAAAAATTTAGCGAAACTTAAGATACAGATTTGCTTCATTAGGAGCAATGATGTCCTATTTATTAGCAATAGTACATTATATTTATGACATGTATAAAAATACAATTATTTGACATGTTAACAATAGCAAATAAGATTCTTTTCCAAAACTGTGATCAACCAGCATAGGCTAACACTACCTGAAACAACCCCAACCACAATGGCCCGAGTCCAAGGCTGGTCACATAGCCCTCCTCCAAGTGGTAGCTCAGGGCCACAGCCTCGTCTGACTTGTGATGTCCCCATTTTCCTACACAACCTACAAGACTGCCATGGAAGGGGACAGAGAGAGTGGGAGAATCTTATGGGCCAGGCCTGCAAGAAGCGTGCTTCCTGTCACCCTGTCTACTGGCCATACAGACAACACCTGCCCAACTGAAAAGAGGACTATGTGCCCAGGAGGAAAATGCAACAGAGTTGGGAATCATGTAATGTTTTCTCTGCCACAAACATTCTTAACATATACAGTTAACATTTGCCTTTTATTATATAAATGTTCACATGACACTTTTTACTATGACTCATGTATTTATTTAGAAAATTTACTTATTTAGAAAAAGTTGGAAAGTTGCTATTGTTATTGCCATTCTCCAGATGAAGAAACTGAGGCTTGGTGAAGTCATTAAGCATTGAAGCAAATGAGTCACACAGCTAAGACTTAAGTTCCCGTCCTCTGGATCCAAACCTCAAACCCTTTCTGCTCTTCTTTGGGCTGTATTAAACTTCAAGAACAACAGAGTTACTATGGTAGGATAGATTTACTACGGAATTAGGATTACCTTTCAATCTCAGTGGGATTTGAGGTAATGTAATTCTGTAAGAAAGGCACAATCCCTCTACAATTCACAGGGATGGAATCAACAGAACAGTCTGAGCAGCAAGCCATCTTTTATTAGTCAGCAGTTGTATATTACCATCTTGGGGAGTGTTTCAAAATGAAATGGGAATCGGTTTAGTAACAATCCCAAAATAAGACCTCTAATTGTTATTCTGGAGGTCAAAGCCAGAAGTGCAGGTACAGGCAAGATCTTTAAAAAAAAGAACTCTGGGCAATCAAAGTCAAGTTCCTAACTCTATCCCAT